CATCTTCCCAGCATGTATGTGTGTGGCTATTACCCTAGTCCTGATATTAGCTCTGTAACAGCCAGGGGTCATTTCCTGCAGGAGCGCACAGGAGCGGAGCTCCGGCAGTAAAGAGCCCAGGGGGCAGGCACATGCAACAAGCCCCACCCCCTGCTCCCAGCAGCCCTGTCAGGGCAAGAAGCAGCCAGATAAGTTGCAGAGCTCCCCACGAGCTAGCAATCCAAAACAGTCCAGTCACACCTTTAAGGCCAAGGTTTATTCAGGTACAAGCTCTCCCTCCTCTGCTAGGGCAGATCTGCGTGTTCCCCCCACCTCCAGCTAGCAATCCAAAACAGTCCAGTGGAGCCTGAGTGGTGGATGTTGCCTTCTGACACACTTCCGGTGATGTCAGGGGGTGTGGCATATGCAAATAAGTTATGCTGAGTTATGCTAATGAGCCCCTGCACCTCTTTTTCTACGAAATGACCTCTGCTCACTGGGGTACACTTGGCAGTTGGCCCCACCCTCTAATTGGTTAGATGTCGAGCCTCGTTGGCTGCTGCTTGACTTCTGTGTTTCCTCTTATACAGGACCTCTCTTCTTCCGTCTCTTACCTGGGCTTGGAGCTGTAGCAAGTTAACCTTTGTGAAGTTAAAATCTGTTCACAGTAAGTTAAATGTGCCTACGTGAATATGTCATGTAAGATGTGCTTCTATTTTTGTAAGTAAAATTTCTTTCTCTTGCTACCATCGGAGTCGGGTCATCTTTGTAATTTGTTTGAACAGCGTTTCCCCCTTAATGGGGAAACATGAAGGATCGGAGATACTGCAGAAAGCTTCTCTGCTTCCAAGGCAAATGATTTATTTATTTTTAACATTTAACCCAATATGGATACCTGCACATTTCAGCAAGGTAGGCCAGGGCTGCCAAGTCTCTGGTCAGGGCAGGCAATCCCCTGCCCCTCTCTGTTCCCCTTGTGTGCCAGATGCAGCGTCATATCACTTTTGATTTAAAAAATGGAAGTTGAATAGGGCAGCTCTAGGGACCACCAGAAACTCTAGGGTAAAATCACAGTGTTGCCAGAAATTCCTAGAGCTATCTTTGTAACTTCCATTACTTTACCAAATTTTAAAAAAAACGTGACACAGAATAGCTCTAGGGATCGCCAGACACTTTGTGGCAAAACCATAGAGTTTCTGGAAATTTCTAGAGCAATCTTTTTATTTTTATTTTTGCCAGAAGCGATGTGATGTCACAGCCAGCTCTGCCTCCCCTGCCATAACCCTGCCCTCAGCCTTCCCACTATATAAGGTTGCCAGTCCCCCCCCCCCCCCCGCCCCCACCCGGGGAGGGGAAGGAAGGTTGGCCAGCCAGATCCAGTTTGGGAAACTCCTGAAGGTTTGGGGGTGGAGCCTGGGGAGGACAGGGGGTACAATGCCCTACAGCCCACCCCCCAAAGCATCTCTTTTCTCCAGGGGAACTGATCTCAGTAGTCTGGAGATGAGCTGTAATTCTGGGGGGGGGGTCCCCAGGTCCCACCTGGAGGTTGGCATCCCTACTTCTAAGGTAAGACTGGCTTTTTGAGTCATTCTCATTGGAGGAACAGTGGCTGGGGGGGCACAAGAGGGGGGTCTTCTCATTACAGGCAGTGCGGTGTGGTCGTTAGAACACCAGGCTAGGATTGGGGAGACGCCGGTTCGAATCCCTGCTCTGCCATGGAAGCTTGATGGGTTGACTTCAGGCCAGTCACTGGTCGAATCTGCATTTGTCTTTCCCACCAGTGTCCCAGCCTTCTGACTCCGTCTTCAAAAAAAACTGTCTACATTTGCTTTCGTTTTCACACTTCAACTGTGCGAGTATACTTTCGTATGTCTGCATATGTTTATCACCCTCTCGTGGCGGCTCCATTGTAATCGCGCCTCCGCACTGCTTTAAATAAATCTTCTCCAAACAACATTCAAAGGAGCATAGAGAAAGGTGGCGTCACAGAAGCACGAAACTAATTTCAAAAATGCAAATGCAGATTCGACCACTGTCTCACACAGGACTGTAGTTCAAAGGATAGAATGGAGGAAAGGAGAACGGTTTACGCTGCTTTGATTTCCTTGCATAACAAGGGCAGGTAGAGAAAGAGGTACTTTTCTCCCTTTCTCACAATGCAAGAACTCGTGGGCACTCCATGAAATTGCTGAGCGGTCGGGTTAGAACGGATAGAAGGAAGTACTTCTTCACCCAAAGGGGCTCTGGGGCAAGTGATGCTCTGTCTTCTTGGTGCTTGGGGGGGTCAACAGTGGGAGGGCTTGTAATATCCTGGCCCCACTGGTGGACCTCCTGATGGCACCTGGTATTTCTGGCCACTGTGAGACAGAGTGTTGGACTGGATGGGCCTTTGGCCTGATCCAACATTGGCGTCTCTGGTCACACCAGCAGCTGCATCTGGAGGAGAGGGGACTCAAATCCAGTTCTTAACCGCTACGCCAAACCAACCCAGATTAGGGTTTAAGAACTGATGAGATCAGGCTATACCGCCCCACGTTCCGGGATAAGAATTTAGTAAATAAATAAACAAACTTGGTGGTGACCAGCATTTGGAACTCCTTGCCCTGGGACATTAAATTGTCCCTCTCTTGGTTAGCCTTCTGTTGCCAGGCCCTGGCGCTCCTGTTTCAGAGCAACTTTTCCTTGGGTAGCAAGAAATATCTCAGGGCTTTGAGTTTTATTTTTGACACATCTGTCTGCTGTTCTGGTTTTGACTTGTTATTGCAATGTACACACCGCTGGGCCAGTGGGGAATTGTGGTTTGTGGGGGTGGGAAGAAGATGACAATTTGGAAAACTCTTCCAGGATATTATACGCTCTCAGGGGGTTGAGAAACCTGATTTCCCATCCCTCCGCTCCCCCTTTAACTCAGTGGCTTGCAACACACAATACTGCTGAAGCATATTCTGTCCTCATCAACACTTTTCCATCCATAAAAACAATCCCTTCCCCTAATTTACAAAGTCAGACTTTTCTACATACCTGGGGGAACCTTCCGAGTATGTAGAAGCCCTAAGGGCAATCTGGTTTTAGACGCCATCTGGAATGGTTTTTTATTTGTTTTACTGTTTTTAACTTATTTGAATCTATCGACGACGGTAACTTTTGAATGTCGTACACTGCCCTGAGCCCTAAGTATGGGGGGGGGGTATGTTTAGAAATCAGATAGATTAGATAGATAGATAGATAGATAGATAGATAGATAGATAGATAGATAGACAGACAGACAGACAGACAGACAGACAGACAGACAGACAGACAGACAGACAGATAGACAGATAGATAGATAGATAGACAGATAGACAGATAGACAGATAGATGATAGATAGATAGATAGATAGATAGATAGATAGATAGATAGATAGATAGATAGATAGATAGATAGATGATCTTATCTGCGGGTGCCCTGGTTTTCCTGGTTTTGTGATTGGCACATTGTGAAGACCCTGGATCCTCTTATTAGTCAACATAGAATGTTTCCAGCAAGAGTTGATAAGTAGTATTGTAAGTGACAGTTTTGAGTGTAATGGTTTTTAATGATTCTTTAGACTATATTTATAATTGAATATGTACTCTTTTCCTTTCAGCGATAAGAATTGGGATTGCTACACGCTCAGATAAGTTATATATTGTGAAACGAATGTTCACATTGCGCAGTATTCGTTAGCGTGTGAGCGATGACAAAAGGATATTCCTTACAGAACTACAGAAATGCTTCAGTAAATGTTTTTGCAACTTATCTTTATTGACTCTTCGTTATTTTTATCATGGATGTTGTTGTTGGAGTTCCACCTCTTCCCGTGATCTCTCATTTTGGCTCCCACCTGGAGGTTAGCAGCCCTAATAGATGGGGCTTAAACAGATCTGGGCCTGGTCACTGCTTGCACGGGAGATGTTCCGCACATACTACCTGAAGTCACTTGAGGAAGGCTGGAAACAGGGTTAAATCCAGCAGGCAGGATTTAAAAATTAGCAACTAAAGTGCACCCCTGTGGTTCTAGAGGGTTAGCATGAGACCCATTGATAGGGTTACCAGCTTCCAGCATTTCTGCACTTTGACTCGAGATGAGCAGCAATTTTGTGCAAGGAAACAATATGTTGGTGAATTTTTTTCCCTTTGGAGCAGAAGACTTAGAGTTCCATCTTTGTGAAGAAGCCTTTGGCGAAACGTGGCTTGTTATCAGCTAGTTTACTCATAAAGAGGAATATTGGAGGAACCTACATTAATTCATCCACCAGGCTCCAGTGGATCCTTGAACTCCTGTGGGATCAGCGTTTCCTCTAAGCTGAGTTAGTGTGAGGTAGCTCACGGTCATTTAGCCTCTGGCTCACACATTTTTGTCTTCGCTCAGGAAGGATGGCTCCAGAGCAAACTGATTTATGTAGTAGCCCCAATCGCTCGCTCACGGCTTTAATGCCGGTAGCTCACAAAGTAGAATTTTTTTGCTTACGAGACTTACACAATTTACAGGGAATATTGTGTGGGACTATTAAAACCGTCATGCTGTTTTCTGGTGTATGAGTTGATACAGTTTAAATATATCTGTGTCCTGTGGTGTGTAAAACATGCCTTATTTCATTATATTTGTACTACCTTGGACTATGTCCTCTTCATTATATCCTTATTCCATTTCGATACAACTGTCTAAGACTTGTGGTTGTTTATTGTTGAGCACAGATGGTTGCCTTTGTTTTGCATACTTCTCCTGTGCTGCTGTTTGGTTTCGTTTCTAACTTCCAGGTGCCACCCGGAGATCTCCTGCTATTATGACTGCTCTCCGGGTGATAAGGACCAGTTCCCCAGAAGAAAATGGCTGCTTCGGAGGGTGGATTACACCCTGCTGAGGTCCCTCCCCTCCCTCCCTGCCCTCTCCAGGATCCATCCCCAAAATATCCAGGCATTTCCCAACCCAGAGCTGGCAATCCTTCCCGTGGTGAACTGGCAAAGATTTGCAACAGCAGGGGAGTAGAAAGAGAGTTACCATGTTCTGCTATATCATTCATGAGGTCCTCAGCCAGCTCTTTAGCATGAGTGCCACTCTGGGGCCCGGTCCTGTTATCCATGAGCACAATCTGGATGAGGGACGCAGAGCTGCGTGGTAAGAGTCCCAGGAAAGTGCGAGGTCCGGGCACCTTTGATATCGCCATCTGAACACCTGCATTCTTGGGCTTTCAAAACACAGAAAACCACACATAAAAGGCACTCAGTATGAGACGGCAGAGATTACACCAGACCTGTCTTCTTTGTTCGTGGCAGGCCTAGAAGATCTTGGATGGAAGATTTCCTGAGCTCCCTGAAGCATTTAACCACAAGCGGCAGGAACTCATACTGGGATTTTTGCAAGAAAAGCATGTTTTTATCACTAGGCTATATTCCCTTCTCAATTTGTATACAATGAAGAATAACGGATGCTAAAATAAGTTTCAAATATAAATCTTAATGCGCTAACAGAAGACCTTATAATCCCATCATTGCTGTTTGGGGTTTGCTGAGAAAGTATGTCCAAAAGGGGTTAAAGATAATTTATCAAGGAAATCATCAGGTGGAAAAGAGTCTGTTTTCCACCCAAACAGAGCAATCCTGCCCCATCACACAAGTGATGTATTGCAGGTCACCTGACTTCAGAGCTTCAAAGTGTGCACACAACAGTTGGCCACTGTTTTAGACAAGTGGGCACATGCACATTTTAAGTGGCTCATGTACATAACGAAAGAATCTGGGGGTTGGCCAAGAGGTATGTGGACCTCCTGATGGCACCTGGTATTTTTGGCTACTGTCTGACAGAGTATTAGACTGGATGGGCCATTGGCCCGATCCAACATTGCTTTCTCTTATGTTCTTATGTGTGTGGGTGATGGCACATGCACTAGCCAATTGGTGCTGTCTACAAGTAGCCTTTCCACGTTAAAACATTCTCAAAAGTAGGGTGGTGGTGTTTTTTCCAAAGCTCTCAGTGGGAGAGAAAAGAATACCTTTGTAGTTAATGCAGGGAGGGTACTGCCAAGTCACATACCCTCCACTGCTCTACAATTATTACCTCTGACTTAATGCTACTGAAAGGGACTGGGCAGTTTCCAGAAACTCTAGCTTGGTAGTCTAATGACCCACTGTGGTCGCATAACTAGAAATCTCTTCCAAGTTAGAAAAAAATCTACATTCCATTGCGAGTTCTAAGCAAAAGCGACCACTGCATTTTGGTTCTTTCCCACAAAGGAATTAGTTCAGATTGGTCGAGAGGTTCTTCCTTGGGTAACCACTTCAGAAATAGGACTAGCGTACCAGGCTCAGAAAAGCATGGAGTATCCTGTCCCGATACAGCTCAATGTCAAAACCAGTGGAATATTCCAGGGAAATGATGGCTCCTGCAGTTGAAACAGAGAAAGAGAAGAAAAAATATGAGAGCCGGTATGGTGCAGTGGCTAGAGTGCTGGACTAGGATCTGGGGAAAGAGGGTTTGAATCCTCATTCTGCCATGGAAGTCTGCTGGGTGACCTTGGGCTGGTCGCTCTCTCTCAGCCTAAACTACCTCAAAGATGATAAAATGGAGAGGAGAATGACATAAGCCACTTTGAATTCCCACTGGGGAGAAAGGAGGGCTATAGATGAGGTAAATAAACAGCCTGGGGTGATTCATCTAGCAATTGCAAAGAAGCCACCCCTACAACCTTCTCCCCATCTCAATGAACTGATACAGCACTAGATGCTTGGATAACGTTTTGTATGTCATGACAGACCACAAGAACAGGAATGACATGAAGACGTGGACAGGGTTGCCAGCTCAGGCTGGGAAATTCCTGGAGGTTTGGGACAGAGCCTGGAAGGGGGGGGTGTTTGGGGAGGGGCGGGACCTGAGAGCCTCGCCTTCTCTGCCATGATTTTGCTGAAGGACCTCAGTAGGGTATAATACCATAAAGTCCACCGTCCAAGGGAAATTATCTCTGTAGCCCGGAGACCGGCTGTAATTCCGGGAGATCCCCAATGTAGCCTTATACTGAATTAGACCATTGGCCCATAAAGGTTTCTGATT